ATATAAAACCCAACATTCCTTTTGTCTGAAGCAAAAATAAAAGGTAAGTGACGTTCTTTTCACACCCTCTTTTGTTTTCTCTCTCTCTCCCTCCCCAGTCCCCTTTGTTATCACAACTTGAATCCTGAAATAAGAGGTGAATGGTCCCATAAACTGTTTCACAAAGCTAATTTAACTGGTATTCTATTTCTGGTTGTTACCCTCTGCTTGTCTGGACAGTAGATGTGGAGTAATGTGCAAGTCTTGAAGAATGTCTCCAGAAATTTCAGAGCTGCCTCAAAGAGGGGATGCTTTTCCAGGCTAGGAGAATGAGCTTGTGCTCAGAGAGCTGTGTTCAGTCAAAGATATTTCATAGGTAGCAGGAAGAACTGAGGCTACCTCTCAGCTTTTCATGAGCCCTCCAGTCTAGCATGGTGTGTGTACTCCATCTGACCTTCCTGTGGAGCTCACCTTAAAGCTAAAATGCTTCCACTGGATGTCACTGTTGCTCTTGGAGAACACATTTAAAGTATCACTTTACCTGTGGTGAAAATGACTCCTTGAAACAGAAGATTTTTAATGGTATTTCTGTCTTCTTTTAGATTAGTAGGATTGGGGTCCAGATGAACAGCGGACACCACCTTTGGGATTTTTCCGCTTTTCTGTTTTTAGGAGACTTTTTTCAGCTAAGTTAGTGAACTTAATTGCACTTAGTGAGTTTTAATACACTGAATGTCTGTATTGAGTTGAATACATTGGATGTATGTGTTGGTTAAAGGGAATGCTGTCTTTCTAGATACTTGAAAATTAAGTCTAAGACTACATCATATTCCCTTAAAAAGCACAAAGACAAAACCCCCAAAGCAATGTGAAAATTGATTTAAAGGGACTTATAGGTAGAGCTGAACCTACCCACCTTGCATCACTTGGTTCTTCCCCTCCAGCGGAAGAAGGTGAGAAGAAGGGAAAAGAAGAATTTCCTCTGGATTGAATTATAAGAATCCTATGTTTTATTAGTAGGTGTAAAATTCAGGTAGGAAGTTACTGTATCAATATATCTTCTAACGATCACAATTTAAAAAGCAAAATGGCATTTTTTGGTTGTCCTCATCAGTTCACTACAGATGCACATGTGTTGTGTACCTAAAACTTGCCCCCTGCCCCCCATCAGCGCTGTAATTGCTGGCCAGGATGCTGTTTAGCCAGAACAATTTTTGTAAGAGGCTCAGTAAGAGACCTCTGGAATGAAGGCTGATTAATTTTCCCCTTCCCCCAAGTAGTTGCACTGTGCTGTCTTTAAGTGGTTGCTATAAATAAATCACTTCTGTTTTCCCTTTGTCACTGAGAGCTGTATTGTATTCAGAAACTGCTCATCTATTCTTCCTTTAATGTTCAGCTGCTCCTTGCTCTACTCCCAGGGCTTAATATGCAGATGTTGTAATAAGATATTTAATGGCAAATACATTTGTTTGGTTCTGCCAAATGAATTGCGCACTTGAACCCTGACTAAAATAAATTAAACCTCTGCAGCAGTGTCATTGTTTCTGGTGCCTGTCCCCGGCATTCAGCTGGCACTTTACCTTGCAGGTGAGTCAGATGAGAGCACAGGCGTCTCTCCCTGTAGTCATGATGTTCCTTGGTACTGAGACTGACACAATTCTCTATTTTTGCAATGTTTTTCTAAATCTGTTAGAATTTAAATCACCAGTGGTTGGCTCACCACATGATACAGGTTGCCATTAGGAGAAGGGTGGCTGTAGTTTGGTCTCTAAGGGGTTTCTTATTCATTCTTAGGGACGTGAGCTGATTTAATCAGCTTTTACAAAATTTAAAAATGATTTTTTCTGGGGGCAATGTGAGTCTTCCTCAGCTGGCTGCACACTTCCTTTCGACTGCATTAAGGTACTAGTAGGTACAAGTCCTAGTCTGGCTGTTAAAGGAAAGTTTCCAAACTTTTCCCTCTTGTTGAACTGTGAAGTTTAACACTTCAGTTTCTCTGCCTATTTTGTGGGCAGTGACTCAAAGTGCTTCTGTAGGTGTGGGTGTTGGATATTTGGCTTTTGTGGCTTCTGTGGCAGGGGGGGTTAAGCAGGGTGTTCTTGTTCCTAGAGCTGAATACTCAAAGCCCTTGGTCAGTTGAAAAGCCTCCCTTTTGGAAGTCACTGCTGTGACACACTGACACAGTTTATTTACTGCCTGGCTGCGTCCCTGGTTGGGACAGATGCACTGACTCAGAACCTCAGTGCTGAAGGCTGTACCTACAGGTTATCTGCATGATGATGATGATGATGGGCAGTAAGGAACCTTTCAAGGAGTGATGTTTGAAATGGGACAGCCATATTTTCATGTTTCTGTTTTTAATTGTAGATACACTTCTGTTCTTGGGGGTGCTGCCACCAGTGAGTAACTTCATGAGCCCACATGGCCTTGCTGGAGGTGGCTTGCTTGGCTTTCCGTGGGGGTGGCACAGAGCCTGTGAGCTGAGCAGTGTGGCAGCTGACAGCTCTGCCCCTGGCTGCAGCTTGACGCGATGAGGGACCACCTGACCCCCTAAAGCATTAGTGTAGGAACATCTCTGCAGCATTGCCCTTGCAAATATGCCAGACTCTTCAACTTTGTGGAGTGTAGCAACGAGAATATCAGCTCTTGAGTTCAACCCAGAAGCTTTTTATGAAAAGCTGTCTGACGTGCTATAAAGATGGAGGGAGAAGATCTGTTGGTGCAGTCATTTTTCTGCTTCTGTGAGTCAGCTTGTCCTAATGGGTTTTGAAGTGGATAGCTCATCATCATTTGGGGTTTTTAAGTGCAGGTTGTATGCAGTGTTAGCTCACTGAAATTTCTGCTGTGCCATGATTGACTGGCCCAAAGTTATATCATTGAAATAGGCTAGTCAGCCTTAAAATAGCAAGAAAATATGTTTTTTGATGCTAGTTACCCATTGAAGAGCAGGGGGTTGTGGTTTTTGCTTGTTTTTACTTTTAAATTTCAGCAGCGAGTAGCAGGTTTGTAAGGCTGGCTTTATCTCATCTCTGCAAGAACATATTTTAGCTGATTGAATCAATGCACTGGTGAGCAACATGTGGCTCTTGGGCTACCTGCAGCACAGGAGTGGTTGGAGTGTGGCTCCCATGCCAAGGCTGTTCAGTGTGACCTGGAGTGTGGGCTGTGTTGGCCGGGGGCCTGTAGATAACCCGAATTATTCAAGCAAGTAGGAGGAAGCAAATTAGCAGAGGCCGGTGTGGCTCGTACCACCTGATACCCAGCTGCATCCCAAGCCTGTGGTGGAGCAACAGGGATCCCTGAGGAGAAGTTGTTAGATGTATCCTTTAAACCTTTCCCTTCCTTTCCTGCTCCTTATGCAAAATTGGCCTTGTGATGCTTGGCTGTTTGAGGATGGTTTGGTTGGCAGGGTCTGGAAGAGTGATTGGCCCTTATCAGCAGCAAGGCATCCTCCTGGCAAAGCTACTCCTGCTGTGGCCTCTTCTCCTTTTCTCTTCCTCGCACCCTCGGGTCTCCAGCTTCCCTAGGTAGTCATGTTTCTACTCTTTGTACTTTCTGCGTATTTTGCCTGAATGTTGGGCTGAACCTCAGCCTTGGGAGCCTTTCTGTGCCCTAAATCAGTGGCTCCCAGCAGCACAACTGTTTTATGTATATTTGGTTTTTTTTAAACTTACTTTTTATGTATGCACATATATACACATATATAGATATTCATAATGTACTGAAAAGTTTGGGGTTTAAAGTTATGTGAGCTGGTCTAAGGTCTTGTGGCAGTTTAGTTGCACACCTGCACGTACCTGTATCAAATACAGAGATGAGCAGGTAGATCAGTACAGCACTGATGAGAAATGCATTCCTGGTATTGCATATGAGAGGAGAGATGGAAGCAACTCTTCGTTTCTTGCTTTGGAAATATTCATGTGGGAGAACTTGTAGAGACCATCTTCCAATCTGTCAGAATTCTTTGCTGTCTTTGCTGATTTGTGAACTTCATGTAAGTAATAAGTGCATGGGATGGAGCTGCACCAGGCATCGGGCCATGGAGAACTACATTTTGAGTGCTGTGATCTTGGCTTTAGATTCAGATCTTATCTGTTGGTGTAAATTGAGAAACTGAAGTCTGCAGTTGCTTAACCAGTTGGCTGCCTCCTTTAGTTAAACTTCTCTGAACTACTTGTGGTGATAATGCAGATAAACAATGCAAATACTGCTTGTTGTAAAAGAAAGGTACCATTCTGAAAGAAAAGGAAAGAAGAATAAGTTCTTCAGTAGAGATCTATTTGTGTTTTTCAAACTTAATTTATTCTGAATGAAATATTCAAGCTTGCATAACTAAAGCAGTTGAAATTGAAACTTCAAAGTAAACTTGTTCTTAATCTCATTGAGAAGGAAAACCAGTTCAAGATATAAACAAAATTAAAATTACTAAATCAAAACTGCTCCAGTGCATATTGGATACATCTTGCTTCTGCTGAACTTACTTCTGCAGTGCAGTGTCTTTGCAACTACCAAACATGGAGAGAGGCTTTAACTTCACTATTGGAGTGAAATAATTGGGCTCCTCTTGGGGTATCTTACTTAATTCTTGTAATTTGGGTGCAGTGTTTCCATGTGGCTCCAGTAAGTCTTCATTTACCTGTGGTCTGTGCCTGTGGACCACATGAGCATGCCAGAGCTCTTTGCACACATAAAACTTGAGCCTTGCAGGATTGCTTCAGGACTGTTATCTAAGGTTTACCTTTCCTCACCAAGGATTAAAAACAAACACAAGCACACACACACACAAAAATGCCCCGAAAACAACAAAACCGCCCTCCACCTGGGGCAGGCAGGCAAGTCAGCAGAAGCTTTTCCTTTTCCAGCTGTGTAAAGAACAATTCCTTTTCTCCTTTGCCTGTTTTTAATAGCATGGACTGTCCCAGCATAAACTGTCCTTTGCTGTTTACCCTCCATGAAACAGAAATCCTTCTCCGGTTGTTTGCATCGCAATAGCAGATTATGTCTGTTTATTTTTCCAGCAGTCAGAAATGGATAGTGGTATTCATCATAAGAAAACAAAAACCCAGGATTCTGGTAGGAACCACGAGCAGCAAGAGGTGGAGGCCAGTCTTGCGAATACCCTGGAGCATATTATGGGACAGCTGGATGTTCTGACTCAGGTATGGTTTGCTCTTTAATTTTGTAATGACAAAGGTAACTCTGACGGGAAGAACTGGGAATGCTTTGCAATACTTTCATAGAATAAAAATGTGACTAGTTCAAAACCTCTGCTTTTTAGTAGTATTTAGATAAATCTTTCATCATCTGTCTCTCAGCTTATCTCTATCAGTTCCCTCACACTGACTTCCAGCTTAGGCTGGAATTCTTCCTTTATGTTCCTTTATGCTGCAGTGTCTTTGAGTGCTGCGTGAGCCAGCTCTGAGAGACTGTGCTATTAGCCAGGGTTTATCTAAGGTGATGCCTAAAGGAGTGCTTGGCACAACAACTCTGTTTTGGTGAATAATCTGTCTCTCTTCCCTCCCCCATTATACTGCAGTCTATAGGTAAACTCCGTTCAGATCCTGCCTCTTTTCCCCCACCCAGCGTTCACCTACACAGTCCAATTTCTGCAGTACTCTCCTCCCATCAACAAGTCTGGGCCCTTCTGTGCCTCGTTGCTAGAACATGCTTTTCACCCACAGTTACAAACAACTAATCCCAACATTAACAAACAGTTCTTTCTTGGAGTCACCAAGCGATGCTTGAACAGTACCAGCCGTCAGTGGTGATCATCACAGTGTGTGTTTACTTAGTAAGAATTTGGGGATAGAGCTGGTTTTTGATTAACTAAATAACATCTCATTGCTCCTGTGAAGAAATACTGTGTCTGATTATTGTCTGGCCCTGAATTTCATTGTGTGTTTTTTGAGGTATGTGACAAGCATGGGATAGTAAACAATGGTGATCTCCTGTAGCTGAGACCAGGGTGGTAGGATGGAAAAATCTGTGTGGGAGGATTTGTCTGTGGGTTTAAATGCTGTTTCTGAGAAAGAACAAGCAGGTGTTAAACACTTGGTATTGAGCATACTGATTACTAGTTAAAGTTAGCTCTCTGCTCTTGAGAGAGTTAACTTGTCAAAGTACTTGTCAAAAAGTGCAAGATGATGGGTTAGAGGGCCCATCAGGGGATTGAAGGCTGATTTAGGGATTAAAAAACATGCCAGGACTACAGGCAGTCTAAAATAGTGTAGGATGAAACCCAAAAGGTATTTAAGTTCACTTGGCAGAAATGCAAGAAAGCACTTTTCCTGTGATCTTTAAAACGCTGAACGCGGGAGGAGGGGAGGGAAATCTCTGACACTGGGCCCTCATACTTGTGAGTAAAAAGCAGCCCAGTGTATACACAAAATATTTTATTACTGTTTTTACGTCTCCCTAGTAAGTTTGGAACGTGATTGTTATCTTTCATTACATAAATCAGATCCACATTTCTGATGATGGATGTGTAATGGCTCCATTTCAACTTCATAGGTGTTTAGAGGAGGCAAATATTGCAGTAAACAGTTCACGTGGGATTTAACCTAAATATAAGCAATGCAAATAGCTGTCAAAGATATTGTGTAACTGTAGAAAATTCTAAATGTTGTTTAAACCTAGCAGAAAGAGAAACTGAGATCAGTGGGGGAGGAATAAATTAGTAAGTTTAGGATAAAATTGGAAATACCCCTGAAATAGTAAAATTCCAAAAAGCTGCCTCGAGTAACTCTGCATTCTGCAACCTTTTACCTTTTTTTGTAGCTTTTTTGCCATCTTTGAAGCACTTAATTTCCCATTGGTTCTGATCTGTGCATGTTGTGTTTTGTATTAACACCATTTTAATGCATTTTTACAGGTAGATGTTCGTGGCACACTGTTGAAATGGCTTCCTAATTTTTCATTTTCATGCCAAGGTTTTGATATTTAGCAGCAAAACAAACCAACACCAAACAAACTCAAGCAAATGAACCCGGAAAAAAATCCTTGTTCCTGGACTAAGGGAGGAGGTTCCTCAAAGAGCAGGGATTGTCTTTGTTCTTGTCATAGTTTTCAACACTATGTTACCATGATATAATGTACCAGAGGGGGAAGGTTAAAGTTGTGAAAACAACTACCTTGTGAAATTATGCAAATACAGGCCTAATTTATTTTCCTAATATTTTTTTCTGTAGTTGTCATTTCAAGGCTTAAATGTGGTATCATGTAAGAGTGGGAAGGAGAGAAAATACTTTCAATTTCTGCTGAAAGGGGTGATAGTAAGACATCAGGCTGTCATGTCTTGCCAGCACGCAGCTTTGTTCTGAGACACACTCTTGAAGGTGCGTCATCTGCCGCTCACAATTATTAGTACCTTCCCTCTGCTGATTTCCAGAAGAAATGACGTGTTAAATACTTGGGTTCAGTGGGATTTTTCTTTTTTAATTCAATTAAAAGCTCTCTTCCAGCCAGTCACCAATCACTGAGGCTGTTAGAGGGGTTGTGCCACACACACCAGACTTGCTCCATCAGTCTGGCACTTCAGTTCAACAGAGGGAGATGAACCAGGAGAATCTGGTGGCTGTTGGCTATCCCAACTAGCAGTAACCACTATAGTGAATAGATTTACAAAAATTCATTCCTACAGTGTTGATTTTGTGCTAGGATTTAATTCTTTAAAGTGTTGGCAACTTTCTTCCAACGGGTCTTTGATTCAGTGAAATCTTTTTCTCTTCCTCCTTCCCCAAACCCTGTCAGGGCATCTTACTTGTAACAAAGTGGTTTAATGTGACCTGACAGAATCTTTGTATTTTTTCCTAAAAGTGGTTTTTGTTTGGCCATACTTCACATGCAAATAAAGTTAATGTTTGGCTGCCTTTTTCAGAAGAGCAGCACATGCTTAGTAGTTCTGTTGTCTTGAAGAGAGGAGTGAAGTTGAGGCCTCTGACATAAGTCAGTTGTTTCCAGTAGTTTTGGATTGCTTAGATACCCTGGTTCCCCTTTGTAGGGAAGCAGGCAATTCACATCTGGCAAAGGAATGAGGAAGATGACAGTAATAAATGTATGATACAGATGATTTTCTCCTCCCTTTCCTGCAGCTTAGTATCTTGTCAGTGTTTCAGTGTTTAAAAATCCGTCACTGGCATTTCAGAGACGTGAAAAGTAGGAAAATGCAGACTGTTTATCAATTAATTTTTTTAGTGAAGGCTGGATCTCAGTACCTCAGTGCCTATATGAAGAGATGTGGTGAATATTAAAGTTTAAGGCAAAAACAAGGTGATTTTCTCTCTTGGATAACTTCCTAGAACAGAATGGTGTGTTTTGGCTGAAGCGAAAATGAAGCAGATACTAAAGGTTTACTCGGTTCTGATGCATTTTCTGCACTTAAAGCTGAACTGCCCTTCTGAAAAGATCATTTGTGAGTAACCATGATGGCTGCAATGGAAAACTTGCATTTGCAATGATCATCTCCAAAGAGTTTATATATTCTTGTCCTCACTTCAAACACCTCCAGCTGCTGTGTTCGCTCTGTTGATCTGGTGGGCAGCAGGCACTGAGGCAAAAGCTGCTGGTTTTGTGTGGGAAGGGAGATGTCTTCTCCAAACGGAGAGTTCAGAACCAGGTTAGCATAAAAATTCATAAATAGCTGCGATAATCCACCCACAGGAAATGGCTTTAGATGCTTCCCCAAACTAATCTGGCGTTGAAGCTGGGAGAAAACAACACAGTGAAATGGAGAAGACTTGATAAATCTGTAAAATAATCCAAAGCCTCAACTGAAGGACAGTCTAGCTCATGTGAGATTAAAGGATTATTGCACTCCAGAAAAGACTGCAGGTGGAGGGGGGGGAGAAAAATTGTTTTAAATGAGTTTTTTTAGCATAAAAAAGATTGGGACATAAGTGAGTTGCTTTTTAATTAAAACTGAAAATGTTTGTGTGTGCAGTGCTTAAAATGAAAGCAAGTAAAATCAAATTTTTGTTCCTTTTTTTGAGATGTGGCCTCCAAAGCTTGTGTTAGTGAGGAATGAATGTGGTCCCTCTCTTCTGAGAGGCATGGACTGTAAATTAAGCAAGTTGCTTCAGTAAAATATATGCTTTTATGACTTCAAGTAGTTACAAGTCAAGAAGAAAGATTCAGGGGGAAGGGGGGGGGCTTTTCATAAGTGCTTCAACTTTTGCTTTGCACAAATGTCTTGGTTTCTGTGTTGCTCTCAAGACCTGAACACCCACAGATTGTAGGTGAACCCAATACGCAGGAGAAAAACTGCAGGGAGTTTTTATTCCAAAAGAAATTGTTTGAAACACTAATAAAAAAGTTCCCATCTGAAAAACCTGTGAAATGTCAGATGAACTTGCTTTTTAAATCTTAATTTAGAGGACAGAGAGGCTATTTCTTATGAGTCAGACCCATCTTTTGGATATTCAGTAGCTTTGATCTCTCACTCAAAACAAATGAAGTGCCCTGGTTGTTGCCAGTCCTCTGTGTAATTCAGCAGAGTTCCTTTTATTTTTCTGAAATATACTTGTTATAAAATCCTGATGCAAATACATTTTTCTTATTCCTAAGGCTGCCTAAATTAAGTGCACTCCTAGGGACATTTCTGTTTTAGCAGAACACTGTCTGAAGGCTGGCTTTTCAGAAGTGCTGATCATCTCCCTGGATGTTCACAGGACCTTCACCTTCCATTTTCAATGGGAAGGAACACTAAACACCTCCCACAATTTGTTTTCACAGGCAGACTTTGAAGATTAATATAAATTGTTATTCAGCCATTGGATACCAGCAGCTGGGTTCATTTAAGTGAGTGATTTGCATCCTTTCAGAGGCAGGGGACGGATATGGGAAGGCTTTGAAGTCTTTGTGGCTGGGGAAGACCTTTAGTCATTTGGGGTTCTAACCTCTGTACTGTGCAGTTGCTGTCATGGCCCAGGCCTGGGTTTTTTTGATGTAGCTCATCATAACTTGCTGTGTTTTATACTGTGGTGAAACTGGAAGTCTCCTGACTCCTTTTGCTGTGCTGGTCTAGCCCCAGAGGTCTGGGAGCTCTGCACCAAGGGAGCTGCCCAGAAGCCATCAGCCATTCCCTTCCAGACACTTGCAGGATCTGATGTAAGTGCCACCAGTTCAGCTTTGGCTGATCAACTGTCAGGATTAAATCAACAGC